TACCATCAAATGATAATATAATTATATCAAAAAATGTTTATTTAGATGCAATTGATGAATATCCACCACCATTTGAAACTGAATCTGATGAATTAGTTATATTTATACATGGTGATACAATTATATTACCAGCTGATCGTTGGTTATTTTATAAAAAAAAATATCGTAATGCTCAATGGATAAAACAACTTGAACGTATTAATCGACGTATACCAACAAATTTAATGCCTATTATTGAGGATTGGCTTTCTGAACATACAACATTTTTAATTGATAGAAATGAAATGAATATTGATGGTTTAAATATACCATTAACAGGTAAATTAGGTTTACATATAATTAATTTACATCAAATATATCAATTACAAACAAATGATAGTAATTATTGGAATGAAATATTAAAATATTTAATTCGTACAGGTTATATATCATTTGATATTAATAGACAACTTATACATATAGGACATAGTGAACTTGATGTTGGACGTGTATTAAGATCTGAATTATCTCCATCACCTGAATTAATTGAACGTTTAGCTCAACTTCTTCGTTCATTAGATAATATACATTTTGATAATAATAATAATACATTACTAATAGGTGAAAATTTTATTATACCAAATGAATATGTTCATGAACTTTTCCAAGAAAATCAATCTGGAGAAATCTTAAATGCTAATCAATTAGCTAATCTACTTTTACATATATGTGATCGTGAAGAAGATCAAGATGGTCAAACAATAATATTAAGATTAAATGGACAAACTTTACGATTAACACCTTCTTCAATTATTCAAGAACAAGAACAAGAAGAAGAAGAAGAAGAAGAACAAAATGATGATGAAAATGATGATATTCTTTTTCAATGGTTATCAGATAATCTTCATTGGTCAAGTGAACAAGGACAAATATTTTTCTTACGTTATCGTACAATGCCTAATTATTTAATACGTATAACAGGACAAGATGGTATACGTTTATCGAATTTATTATATCATCAAACTTTACAAATTAATGATCTATTAGATTGGCATAAAAAACATGTACAAATAGATCATATTGAAAATTCTTTACGTATGATAATAAAACCAAATAAAAATATCGAGATTGATCATTTACTTTTGGGCGAGAATGAAAAAAAACGAGAAAAAATAAAATCTACCAATCAAAAAAATAGAAATACATTCGAAGATGAAGAAAAAAAAGAAAAACCTTTAGTCGTTTTTATTCCTTTTCATCAGCAAACTCAAAACGACAACGAACA